TTTATTATTATCAGCCACTCGATAAATCGTTCAGGCTCAAATGATAATGAACTTAAATGTCACTTTTCAGAACACAGTGCATCTCAAATAACGAGACACAAATGATATAACATGAGAGGTTAAGTAATTTATGATAAATAGCTCAGATAAAATCTGGGACTTCAGGGACTTGAAAGAGGACGCTGACTCAGCCTCATGTCCTCCGGCAGGTCGTTTGAACACAAAGACTCTGTCCCCTGCAGTTTTCATTCCGCTCTCTGGAACAGTGACGAGACCTCTTTCCGTATGAGGATCTCAAACTACACAAAGGTTCATTCAGGATTTAAACATCTAAGATATAATCAGGAGTCAGGACATGACGGGTCGTAAATGATCAGGGAGTCAGTGTGAAGAGGCTGAAACGGGTTGGATGTCAGTCAGAAACTCGGTCAGTTGAATTCTGAACCGTCGGAAGTCGTCAAACGTTTTTTTTGGTTCAGGCACAGAAAGACTGATGCAGTAACGAAGCTGCGAGGAGATAAAGTTTCATATTGGACATTAAAGCAATAAATAAAACACCAAATATAATTCAATTCAATTTGCACATGAAATGGATCATGTTTTGTGAAATGCAGCTATTTAAGAACACAGTGGACTAAACTGTACAAACCTCTGATGTCAGTATGTTAATATGTATTTTCCTCTTTGTTCCAGTGTGCCTCACCTTCCTCGGGAAGTTTTACCAGTCGCTCAACGACAACGATGTGAAGTTCAACAGCGCAGACATCGAGAAGGCGATCGTAAAAACCTGCAAGGATGCGAAAGGCAAAGAAAACCGCTTCGTGAGTAAAATACAGCTCCGACTGTGGAGGTGGAGTCACATCTTATAAACAAGCGGTATTTTTTAATTCTAATTAACTGAACCAAACACGCTTGGGTTTGAACGCACCCTTCGTCCACTTAATCATAAAATGCATCTCAACAGAAAGCTGGAACCCTGTGAAACATTTCTTCTTCCTCATGTGTAGTGTTACTACATCGGTGCAACAGCTGACGCAGCCACCAAGATGATCAATGAAGTTTCCAAACCGCTCAGCCACCATGTCCCAGTGGAGAAGATCTGTGAGAAACTGAAGAAGAAGGACAGCCAGATCTGTGAACTGAAATATGGTAAGAAGGAAAAAGTTTTATTTTAGAAACAGTGACGGTGAAAAGTAAGAGCAGGGATTCTTTTCTTGGAGGTGGAATTGTTACTGACCTGGAGAATCGTCTCCAGAGTTTGAGTTTCACAGCTGAACAACACGGCAGCAGCTTTTCTGCACAGACTCGTTCACAACAGTCGAGTCACGTGACTGATAGGAGCCAATTGGGAAGATAATCTGGGCGTCATCGTTTACAGAAGTCTCAGTTTCTGTCCAGACTAAAACACAACCCCAGAGTTTTCAAACCAAGACGAGACCAGCAGCGTTTAGTCTCTGATCCAGAGGCTGGAACACTCGTGTGAACGCCAGGTGCAACCGTAGCAACAGTCCAGTTTTACTGACTTAACTCATCATATTTGTTGTGAGTCCAACATTTAAACCAGTTAAACTTAGGAATCTGCTCAACCATGTGATGATGGTGTGTCTTTTCTCGCAGACAAACAGCTGGACCTCACCACGGTGGACCTGAAGAAGCTCAAAGTGAAGGATCTGAAGAAGATCCTGGAGGAGTGGGGCGAGTCCTGTAAAGGATGCGCAGAAAAATCCGACTTCATCCGCAAAATCACAGAGCTCATGCCCAAGTACGCCCCAGCAGCCGCCAAGGCACGGACAGAACTGTAACACAATAAAAAAAAAAACAAAAAAAACAACCACACAACTTTGGACTTGATTTGGACCAGACTGCTGAGGACCGGGAGCGGAGCAGGGAGCTCTGTCTGTCTCAGTCTTCTGTTTTTATTTTTTATTTACAGGGATTCACTCGTCTGGTAATTTTGCACAGATTCAGAAGTGGAGATAATAGTGGACACACACACACACACACTGTACACCACAGTAAACGTTTAAATCCGTGTGAAGGTCGAGAGGTTTCAAGCTTGAGGAAGTAAATTTAAAAGAGAAACTAGAGGATCAGGTTTTGTGACATATTTAAAACTTTTCATAGGAAGTTTTATTCTCCATCAGTGTCAGAATCATCAAGTCGGAGGGGAGATGCTCAAATCCGCCACAGCAGAGCTCGGTTGTGTCCCAGGATTCAAATCCACAGCTCGCTCATCAACAAACCTCGTCCGCTGCCTCGGCCAAACCTCAGCGGCGAGATGCTCTTTGACAGAGTTGTCATGTTTTTGAGGAATTTGTTAAGTTTCTTGTAAATCTGCTCAACTTTACTTTCCATGATGTTCTCATCGAGGAGAACCCCCCCCCCCCCAAACACTTACAGAAACATTTGCTGAGATCTCCCTAAAGGCAACAAGATCTACCTGTAAATCTCACTAACTGCCAGTTTATACCACATTTATGTAACCTGTACAAAACATAGTGTGAGAACGAAGGTGAACGAGCTGTGGCTGCTTCCCACAGTGTCAGAGGTTTGTTAGAAGTGTGTAGGATTTAGGAGGATCCACTGGTAGAGATGAAATCTTCATGTTCTTGAGTTTAAAATGATCTAAAACCAAGATGCTGTGTTTTTGTTACCTCAGAATGAGCTCATGTTTCTACAGAAGCCCAGAATGGACACACCACAGCTTTCATCCGCCCGCACGCCCTCCTACATGCTCGGAAAGAAAGTGTAATATGCCTTTTCACCACAAGGTGCCACTAAATCCTACACACCGTTCTTAAAGGCTTGTGACCACCGACGAGTCGAGACTTTCGCATCTTTTACCTCCGCTGTTGTCTTTGTGTTTTGGTGTACTGTTAACGAAGTCAGCCATGATCCAACGCAGAGTTGAGTCAAACATACGAACAATTATTAAAACAGGTCTAATTAAAACTTGAATCCCAGGAAAATGTAAATTCAATACAATAAAGATGTTTTCAGACATGAACTCTGGAAAATGTCCTGACAATGTGAGCCGGACATTTTCTGTTTGTTTCTCATGTGAAGAAGCAGCAGGAGATTGTCCGGGTCAGACTCGATCACAACAGGAAGTTGTGGTTCGTGTGGACATTATCTGGAGTAACTCTCACTTGGACCTGTGCGTTGTCACTCACAGCCCCTCCAGATGAGTTCAGGAGATCGTCTGCAGTTCGTGTTTGAAAGCATCTTAAGAAGCCAGTGGTGATCAGCTGTGAGACTGGAATCTGGGGCATTAAATCGTGTTCTTTGTTTGTCTTAGGAAAAGATTAAAGTTTGAAACACAGCAATGGTTAAACTAACCTGAACATCTGAATCCGATCTAAATGATCAACCTCACTGATGATGTGGATCATGGTTGACGTCTGCTGAGGAACGTTCACTTCATCTCTGATTCAGGAAGGTTCCGCAGTCCTTCCTCTGTCAGTTAAATGTTTAGGAGATATATTTATTTAGGACTTTTTTAAGACTCTTTCTGATCCTTCATTGTTTTTCTGCTTCTTTTGGGTTTTTTTTTTTTCCTGTTTCGTTCGGTTTCTGTGCTGCAGCAGTTTTAATGTCGTGAACATTGAAACTGATGACATGCTGAACGTCTCAGCTTAAATCCAGTCAGGCATTGGATCGTGGGAAACGTTGAAATTCAAAATAAAAACGTGAAATTGAATCAGTGGGTGAATATTTGCTCTCACTCACCGTCACCTGCTGTTTATCACAAGTTCAGCGCGGTTTGAATATTCATGTTTCCGAACATGAAAACAACATTCACGTGTTTCTGTCATATGTGGCAGTGACATGTGAAACTTGACGGTCTCCGTCAGGAGGGGTCGGTTTGTTGTGTGATGATGACATGTACTCTAAAAAAAGACTTGTTATGGGAAATGAAATCTTAAAACCTGCTGTTGTTTCACTGTGACCTTTAGAACTAAGGTGCAGTTCTTTGTTACAACTGTACTATTCTACTTTTTAATTAAAACATGAGAAACTCCATCTGGAGTCGAGGATGTTTCATTTCAAAACGTGATGGAAATAAACAGGGAAAAGAAAAAAAGAAAAGGTGAGCTGATGTTTTTAAAGTGCTGTAGATTAGAACAAGTATTTTTTATTGTTAGTTTTTTTTAGTCCGAACAATTAAAACATAAATAACGTCCACATTTACATTAATGGATAAATGTCAAAATGACCTGGGCATTTAAAACAAGCTTCAAAATACAAACACGTGTTTTCACTTCACTAATAAACACGTCGCGTTGTCGAGTTTTAACAGAATCTGATGTGATTTATTTAATAATAATATTTAATAATAAAAAAATATCAAAAATAATAATTTAACTTAAAACTCAGCGTCACACGCCATGAGGCCGTCACTGGTGACGTCATCGCGGCCCCCTCCCTCCAGGAGGAGAGTGCACATTCCTATTGTCCAAGATGGCGGCGGCGGTGCGGGTCCGCGGAGCGACATGTTTTTAAACCAGTTTTTCCTGTTTTTATTCAAACTGACGCTGATTCTCGGCGCCTGCCGCCGGAGCGAGTCGCCACCGGAGCCGGTGTCCGCCGCCCTATTCCCCCCAACAGCCCCGTAGCCCGCCGCCCGGGCCGGATCCCCGCTGCAGCCACCGGAAAGTTTGAGCTCCATCCCCCAGCGAACATGAAGCGGCAGGCCGGGAGGGAGGCGAGTCCGTCCAGGGCCGCGGCGAAACGGACCCGGGAGAGGGAGCGAGAGAGCGCCCGGAGAGAGGAGCTGCCGCCGCCGCCGCCGCTGGCTCTGCTGCTCGCGGAGAGCCGGGGATACCACCGCCGCAGCCGGAGCAGGGAGCGGGAGAAGCCGCGGCAGAGGGAAGAGCGAGCGGCCGCTCTGGAGCTCCACCACCGACACGAGCTCAGCCTCCTCGGCCGCCCGCCGCTCCGCACCACGGCGGCGGAGCTGCCCGCAGCCAGGCCGGGGACCCTGGAGTACAAGACGCTGCTCATCAGTAACCTGGGCTCGCAGGTGTCGGACGAGGACGTGGAGGACGCGCTGTTCCACGAGTTCAAAAAGTTCGGGGACGTCAGCGTGAAGCTGTCGCACACGCCGGAGCTGGGCCGGATCGCATATGTTAATTTCCGGCACCCGGAGGACGCCAAGGAGGCCCGGCACGCCAAGTCCTCCAGACTGGTGCTGGGGGACCGGCAGCTGAAGATCGAACCCATGTACGTCAGGAGGCGGAGTGTGACGCCGCCGGACGTCGGTTATCTACCGCTGCACCCGCCGTACAGACAGCGGTCCCTGTCCCCGCCGGGCCCCGCGGTCAGCAGCATCAGGGACCTGAGAGCCAGACACTACGCCCTGGAGACGCTGGGCCTGGGCAGGGACCGGGACAGGCTGCTGGACTACTACGGGATGTTGGATGAGAGGGGGCGACCCTACGGCCTCCCGATGCCTGTGGTGGAGGATCTAAAACCCGAGGACGACCAGAGGGCGACCAGCAACCTGTTCATCGGAAACCTGGACGGTAACGTCACCGAGGCGGAGCTGAGGAGGGGGTTCGACAAGTACGGAATCATCGAGGACGTGGTGATCAAACGTCCGGCCCGTGGACAGGGCGGAGCCTACGCTTTTGTCAAGTTTCAGAACCTGGACATGGCCCATCGAGCCAAAGTGGCCATGCAGGGCCGGCTGATCGGGGGAAACCCCATTAAGATCGGTTATGGCAAAGCTAACCCCACCACTCGACTCTGGGTCGGCGGCATTGGTCCTGGAAACTCCCTCGCTGCTCTGGTTCGGGAGTTCGATCGGTTTGGAAGCATCAGGAACATCGACTACGTCAAAGGGGACAGTTTCGCTTACATCCAGTATGAAAGTCTGGACGCTGCTCAGGCCGCCTGCTCCCAGATGAGGGGTTTTCCTTTGGGCGGCCCTGAGCGGCGTCTGAGGGTGGACTTTGCTAAAGTTGAGGAAAGCCCGTCTCGACCGTTTCCCCCTGGTTATCAGCCCCCTGTGGCGCTGCCCTCCAGCTACGAGCTCCTCGGAGAGGCCTTCAGCCGCCACCGCAGCCTGGAGCGAGAGCTGAGGGGCGCCAGGGACCGCTCGTCACCGCCCTCCCACAGCGCCCTGTCCCAGAGGGAGAGAGACAGAGCCGTGCTGGAGAGAGACTACCCCGCCAGCCCGACCCGCAGCCTGGAGCGGAGAGCGGGGGGCGTGGAAGCCTTTGGGAGGAGCGGGAGAGGGGCGAGGAGCCGCAGCAGGAGCAGAGAGCGATGGCTGAAGGAGAAGGAGGAGAGGAGGAACCGGAGGAGGAGTCGGAGCAGGAGTCTGTCCACTGATAGGCAGGTGGGGGAAAAGGAAAAGGAGAAGGAAAGGGGACGGTCGAGGGTTCGAGGTCCAGATGGCGTCGTCTCTCCAGATGCGAGTCCAGATCGAGCTCGGGTCCGAGCCCCTGACTCCACCACAGAGCCAAGAGATCACTCCCCCGACAGCGGCGCAGGAGGACGCCACGCTGCCGTTAACGAAGAGGATCCACCGTCTGGTCGCCACCACGGCAAAAGGTCGTCCAGCGTGCACCTCAACAACCATCACCATCGAAACAGCGAGGTCATCGCCGCCAGCTCTCCCGCCGCCCACACGGACACGCACACCTCCTCCTCTCCGAGCACGCTGTCCGAGTTCGCCCAGGCCTCTCTCTCCAAGTCGTGGCATGGCTTCTTCGCCCTGAAGAACAGCAGCTTCCCCACGGAGCTGTACCTGCTGGAGGGCGGGCCGGCGTTCTTCAGCGCGGTGATGAAGGAGACCCTGAAGCAGCAGAGCCAGAACCAGCCCAGCCAGCTGAAGATCGCCCAGCGGCTCCGCATGGACCAGACCCGGCTGGACGAGGTGTCGCGCCGCATCAAACTGGGGCGTCCCGACGGGTTCGCCATCCTGCTGGCCCTCCAGGGCCCCGTCGACCGCCAGGCCCCGGCCCCTGAGCCGGGACTGCAGGTGCGCCTGCTCCGCCACCTGGTGACCTACCTGCGGAACAAGGAGGCGGCCGGAGTCGTGAGCCTCCCCGCCGCGAAGGAGGGGGGGTCTGGGGCGATGCTGTACGCCTTCCCCCCCGGAGAGTTCTCCCAGCAGTACCTGCAGGCTGCCAAGAGGACTGTGGGTAATCTAGACGAGGAGCACATGGTGATTGTGATCGTCACTGACACTAATTGATTTTATCACAGTACACACACACACACACACACACACACACACACACAC